ATACTGATTTATTGTTGAAAATATCTAGTTTAATTTATTTGTTTCAACTTTTTTTTATAAAATAACCAAAAGACGGTAGTTTTTCACCGTTTATTATAATGAGAATAAAATAGTTTTTTAATTTTATTTCTAGTTAGTGTAGGACGCATTAATTTTTTTCTGAACTGATTCGCTATGGTTATACAAAATAAAACAATTCAAGTCACCTAATCCTTTTTTTTTTTTTTTTTTATACAACCCATTCTATTAGTGACATTTTTAATGAAAATAAAAAATAAATATATTTTTTTGTACTGAGAAGGAAAGTAAAAATGTACGAAGGGTCCAGTACAGTAAGTTACGGTAAAAAGTAAGTGTACTCCAGCGTGAAAATTCTTCTTTCTTAATAAACATGCACTTGTTAGTCGTTTATTAGTAAATTACTCAACAAGTTTGGTTTCAGTGAAGTAAACATTTAATAATTTGATAAATTTTGTCTTTCAGTTAGATTTTTTTCTTCAGTAATCATTTGGAATCTTGATAAAAATTTAATACGAAGAAATATTAAAAATACAAATTCCAATATTATCCATGTAACCCGTGTAGCTATCTTAATGTTTTATAGAGTGTATTGAATCAATTTAAGAATTTCCATAAAATGTCTACATAAGATCATGATTTACTAACTTAATTTTAATTGGTTCACAATTATATTGTACTTAAAGTTTGTTATCGTAATAAAATAAAAAGAGCTATTAAAAAGTTTTATTTTATCAAATTACGACCGTAGTACCAGAACTGACACCACGCTAGCAGTATTTTAATTCAAGAAACTTATACGTACAACAGTAGACCAGCTATATACTATAATGTTACGTCGAGTAAAGGTTACAATATTACTTACTTATATTGACGTACATCGTGCTGTTATGAGTCCAATCTTTACGGTCAGTATTTCTTTAGATGGTGTAGAAGTGTTATTTATGAACGTTTACATTCAAACTTTCATATATAGGGAATAAAACAGCATTTATCGTACATATTTCAGAAATATCTTATGCAGGTAAATATAATGCCTTGTTTGTAAGCTGATTTTCAGATAGTATAATGTTTAAGCTTTTTGGTCAATTATTTTTAATGATTGCAAGTTGTTAGTTTACATGAACATAGTGTAAATATTCTTGAAACTTTTTTTAACCGTAATTCAAATAAGGGCCATAAGAAAGTCCTTTCAACATAAGCATAAATGAAATACAAACCTATTATTGAATAAAAAAAATTTATCAATCAATAAAATTTTCTTTTAACTACTGTACTGTAATGAAATAAAATGTGTCAGTAGATAAACATCTAGTTTAATGTAATACAAAATTTATATGATGCTAAATTTTTTGTTTTTACATTTTTACATTTTTTCAGATTTATCATGTCCAAATTTAAATTAAACATTTTATTAGAGGTACAAAAAAAAAAGGATACAGAAGAACTAGCAAATCAATTCTCGGATTATTTAAAAAAAACAAATTGTGATTAATGATTTGATTTGCCCAAAATGTTATACGTCTTTTCGCTCAAAATTATCTAAGCGAATAAAACTAGAAATGGATCAAAGTCGACCAAATTATAGTAATCTTGTAAGTCAAGAATTTGAGCCTAGTTAATCGTCTTATCAGTCAAGCTGCAGTGATGGTTTGGTACATGCTTCTCCCGTTTCAAAACAGTCTGAAGAAGTTGAAAAAGTACAATTACCATTTCCAAGACCAATTGCAACTCATTCATACTGCTTTATGTGTGGGAAATATTCTGATATAATACAAGTACTATTGATTGCTCAAAAACAAATATTCTCTTAAGCAAGGATATACATTCCCGAAGGTAATCGCTGTTGCAATGTTCACATTTTTAATAAAAAGTTTTATTTGGATGAAATTTATAAAATAAGAGTTGTATCGAGTTGATGTTCAGTTGCAGTACATGATTTATCAAAGATGTTAAAGTCAATGAGCGTATCAGCTGATCAAGAACTCACAGATAAGATTGGTGATTTCACACTTTCTGAAGAGCGAATTAAAGCATTCACTGGTCTTAGTTGGGAAAATGTGATTCAATTGCGTGACATTTTGGTTAACATGAGAGACTCTGAATGCCGAAACGTTACTCAAGCTTTGGTCGTATTCTTATTTAAATTAAGAAGCGGCAACTCGAACAATCTTATTTCATCTATTTAAGGTCTTTAACGACCACAACAAGTTTCCGACTTCTGTGCTTCTATCTTAAAAGCTTTTAAAAAAGATGTACTACCGAAAAATTTTGGGCTAAAATCTGTTTGTAAAAGCGATCTCATTAATAATTACAGTGTAGTTAATGTTAGAAAAGTGGATGATACCGGTAGTGATTAACTTTTTTTTAATCGCAGATAGTACTTACCTTAGACACCAGAAAAGCACTAATAACGAATGTCAAAGGAAATCGTATTCCGGTAAAAAAAACTCATCTTGTCAAGCCTTATACAATCAGTACGACAGATGGAGATATTGTTGACTTGCTTGGACCTTTTTTAGCGAACAAAAATGATGCTGATATTCTTAAAAGTGAAATGGAAAACAATGAAAGTCTTAAGAACTTATTGCAAAAGGGTGATATTTTAATTTTAGATAGCGGCTTTCGAGATGTTGTAAAAGATTTTATGCAAATACATTAATCACAAGTGAAGTGTTATCGCAAGTAGAACGTCACAAAAATAAGGAAAATACGTTTGCTGAGGAAGTAGAATCAGGAATATGGCCGTAGAAAAAGTAAAAAATATTTTAAATTGCAGTCTCGTGATTTTGAAGATTTTCCAGAAATGACCGAAAAAGATTTGAAAATATTATTTACAGGAACCTACTAGTTACACCAAGCAGTATCATTTCTGGCAGATGAAGATAGTGAAATTTATATAGAATACTTAAAAGAGACACCTACAATTGTCAAGTTTAAGGTTCGATCGTGACACATCTCCAAGAAGACATACAATTGCTTTATTAACTACAAACCACATACTATTGGATACAGTGCAATACAGAGATACTGCTGTGAGTGTGCAAACGGCATGAGAACAATCGGCTGTTGTTTTCACGAGGCATAAATTATTTACAACTTAGCATATGCAAGATAATAGTCTAAAATAGGTAGACCAGCTGAAAAATTATCACAAGTTTTTCTTCAACATGATGTAATACCTGTGATTAACAACGACAGTGACAAAGATTAGAATAAGTTCTTCAATAATTTACATCTATATTTTAAGTAGTCTTTTATTTAGAAAATTAGATAAGTAATTAGTTAAATAAAAGTATGATGTATAATATAATTAGTCATCATTTTAGTGAAAAATAAAATTCATTTTTTTCAACTATGTAAGACATATTTTAGGTTTGTCTTTATTTAAAAAATAATATAATAAAATTTTGTTGTTATTTTTGTATTATTACTTACTACTGAGAAATTTTTTAAAGGTTTTAAAGTTGATACGTTCTTAGAAGTAAGAAACTTTAATTCAATTACATATTTTTCCACATTATCTTCAACTTTATGACTCGTACACATTTTTTCTTTACTTTTCTATGAAACTATACAAAAAGTGTACATCTTGATAAAGTTTTATACTCTAACTGATACTCAGCGTACACTCAATTCTGTTAGCAATTATTTTTTTACATTATTTTCAACTTTACGAATCGTACAAACTTTTTTCTCACTTTTCTATGCAAGGATACTTCTTGATGAAGTATTATAAAGTATAAATAATTTGAGTAAAGTGCCAAAAAATAATGTATAGATTTCTTCTTTGGTTCATTTGAGGCATATTAAAGCCATTATAGCGAAAAAATGGGTGAAAAAACGGTTTTCATTTTTTTCATCCAGGTTGCCTAGTCTTAAAAAACCTGAAAAAAATTTTTTTAAGTCGGTACCGATAGAACTCTCAGAAGTACGCCTTTTTAAAAATTTTGAACGTATCCCAAAGTTTTAATTTGGTGCCAAAAATTTTGAAAAAGTTTCGAAGTTTTTGATCACCCACGCCTTTGATACAAGAAATTTAATCACAAGTATACGATACTACACAATATTAAATTGACAATAAGGCCACGTTGGTGACATGATAAATTCGTTGGAATTTTGATCTATTGCACGTTGTACAATTGTTTTACAAGAAAACAGTTTGACGTGAGGGAGCTCCGCACGCTGTTCGAGTTAGTCGACTACTGCCCGTTAAAACCAACTGAGCAGTTAAGCTAAGCGATAGTGGCGCAGCGCTGATAGGTGCTGCATTTAGACTCATGAACTCTCCTTCGTTAAAAAAATGACCCTTCAGACCTTCTTTTACTATTAGAATACGTCCAAACATCCGCAGTTAAGCCCATGAATATAACTTTGCGTCGAAGTTGCAGTGTCGAGCACACGCATGCAGGTGCCTGGCTATGGTAGATCCCTAGCTTCATGTGTGTGTGTGTCTGTGTATGTGCTTGGCACGATCAGATAATGCCTCTCAGGCCATAAGTCGTACATACACGCNTGACTATTTACTGTGTTCTACCATTAATAAGATTACAGAATTCAAGATTCTATGATCAGCAGAGTTAAGCATAACAATTCATTTTATATTTCATGGTAAATATTTTAGTATACATTTCACTCTCTTATTTAAATATAATTATGAAATAAAAATGGCTACGGCATTTAAAAATAATCTATAAAATATTAGGAATCATATTAAATTTCCAACCGAGAAATGTTGTTTAAAACGATTTAGTAGATTTACATAATTCTTATAATCAATGAAGTTGCTTGATACTAATATATCATTAAAAACCATTTCAATATTTGAATTATGAAAAATAAAATAACTAACTTGATTAATACGGCCCTAAGTAAATAAAAGCTCTCTTAAAATAAAATTTAAAATCATTAATTTTCTAGACCTTACAATACACTTATACAGTAAGTATCTAGGAACTTAAATTGGTATACACAGAATAGTTATAAAATGATAATAAATAGACAAATGACCTTGAGATATAGGCGTCACGGCAGTTGGCTCAATTGGATGACGTGAGTGATCTGCAGTTAGTATTGTAGCATTACAATTATTATCTCGTCCTTGATTGCCGATTGATAAAGTGAATGGAGTAGAAGGCCCCTCAGTTTTTCGTATTCTACTCTTGCTTAAATTTTCATGATCAAGTTGAGCCTAAAATAGAAATGCATCACCTGTAAGAACTTTGTTATTCACACCATTCAAATCTATAGTAAAATATTGATAGCGTTCTCCATATAATACTTTCATTTTAATTATAATACACTCACGAATCAAGGAACGCATGTCAAATTTTTATTTTTTATTCTCATTTGAAAAAGCATCAAGTACATTAAATAATACAATAAAGATTTTTTTTGACAGTTGTAACACTAAATTTTTGGTATCAAACTATCAGAGTTAGGTTTCATGCTGTATAATAAGCGTCTCAATTTAAGAATAATTTTTCATACTTTTGACATACATATCTAAGTAGTAATAAAGATCCTCCTAATTCCAAATGGATTGTTAACACTTCGTTACGTTGTTTTTAGTTTTGTAATACAATGTATCAGACTTGCATGCTATCACCTATGGCTGATCTGCAAAATGCACGAAATTAAGAAATTTAATGGATGCTAACATTTCACGTTCTGTGGATAGAAATTTAAAACGGCCCTATTATCAACCCTACATGGCTGGCAAACGCTCCATTCCGAGTTTTTAGGAATAGAAGTAGCCGTTTAGAAGGAAGATTCTCAAAATAAACAAAAGATAGAAAAAAAAGACGTTCACAAGTTTATTATTATCTAAAGCACAAATATTATTTTCAGAAATTTACAAATAAACTATAGTTACGCTGAGACTTTCTTATTTAAGTATTTAAATTGTTTATAAGACGATCATCTTTTTTAGAAATTTTACGTTTAATAATACGATTAAAACAGGGTAAAGTTATCATATTGTCAATAACTGTACCAGATAATAAAAATCAACTAGACGTGCCTCAAAAAAAGTTATTACCATGAAAAAAAAAAAAAAAAGTCAATACAACAATCATTACAAATGCTAGAATAGGCGTTTTAAAGGTGCTGTACATTCTCATGGTTAGTAATACAGTTTCTTCTGAGGTTACTAATGCATTGTGAGATTAAAGGCAGTATACAGCTGTCTACAACGTATTTCTCGAAATAGAGAAGCAAATAAAATGTTTTAATACAAAACATTACAATTCACCTTTCTGTTATTATAAATCTATTTCTTTCGCAAAGATCTCTAGATAAAAAGCAACTAATCCAAGAAACAACGTAAACGCTACAATCTTACAATACATTCTTAATTGCAAATTACTGTTTCTTGTTCTATTTTTTTACACAAAAAAAAAAAAATGTTTGATTTCCTTTTATTAGATGAATAAAATAATTAAAAAGCCATATATCAAGTCCATGTTTTTATTTCTATAAGAGATTGTCAACGTTCCGCCCCTCAAGGAGGCCTCTTTAGGATATATTAACAGACCCTCGGCTCCGCCTCGGATGTTTATTCACGTGAAATCTGGGACATTTCTTAATCTTTAAACGTCGTGCGTAGACTACTTTTCATACCTCTAAGGCCGTAAAAATAAAACAGGTAATCATTCAGCGCTTTACGACCACAGATACGGAAATATTTATACTATATATATTTTTATATGTACTAGCAGAGTAACACTTCCTGTGCGCTACACGCGCCCACACCAGTTGTTTCTGAACTATGAGGAGATGGCAAGGGCGGTGACGGTACTGCACGTGATTTCTCGTAGCAACAAATGCGACAATATTGGTGTGCAAGACCGATATGGATTTCACTTATTATTTCCATTCCAAAAGCACGGATTTGATCAACGTGCTGTTTAATTTTTTTTCCTTGACATTAAACCCCTTCGCACTCCATGCGCCAACCCCCAACTGTTCTAACTTAAAAGGAGAGTCTTTGAATTTCATCTGTTTGTCGGGAGAGGTTGGTGCCCAGAATTTTGTGAGGAAGAAGAGTTTTTAATCTACATCGTTGAGCATTAGTTATATATTTATCAGTAAATTTCCATACCACCCAGAAGGTACTATTGTGGTACGTTAAAATTTTTTTTTCAACTCTCCATTATGTTGAGAGAAAAAAGGTATCCATTATTTTTTTAATGATTAAATTCTTAACAACGAAAAGTTTTTATCACTTTAATCACATATAAATTATTTAAATTTTATGTAAAATTTATTTTGTATTATTTTTGTTACTATTATGCATTCTACATTTTATTAATTAATATAAGTGGTTAAAAAGAATTTTACTTTTTCAGATTCAATGACAAATATGGAAATAATTACTTCACAGTGTTCCCTTATCCCCTTATCCACATATCCCCTTACAGATCCCCCAGAGCCCACCACACCATTTTTCATACATCATGTCGTGTATACTTGTTGAATGATAAAATAATAATAAATGACTTTCAATTCATTACCGTAAATATTGCCGATTTATCTATAAAAATCATTGAGTAAAGCCAATAAACTATGTAAAAATTTCTTTTCAAACAATATTTTATAATTCTGTATTTTTTGGCCTTTCTTCTTAAATCAATAAATTATTTTAATCTTTGGATTTTGATAAAGCCACATATAATTAAACATGAGAAAATAAGGGTTTTTTTAAATACAAACCTACATTATCGAAACTTTGTTCTTGGGATTTGTTCATTGTCATAGCAAGTGTTACAACGATTGGAAATTGTTTACGATACAAAATAAACGGTAATGTTGAGGAGTTTCCTGTGTCTATAGTTATTCTTGGAATGAAGACTCTAATTCTAATTTTTTCTCCAGTTATTATTTCTCCTTCTATGTTATACTGTAATAAATTTGTGATTCGTGAACATGTTTCATTACATAGTCCATCTGATATACTTAAATTTCTCAGTAACATCACTATTGTACCAATTTTTAGATTTAGTTTATGAGGTGGTAATCCTTCACGAAGATTGTTCATTACTTCCACCGAAAAATTTGAATAATATTTGAATTATGAAAAATAAAATAACTAACTTGATTAATACGGCCCTAAGTAAATAAAAGCTCTCTTAAAATAAAATTTAAAATCATTAATTNCATTAAAAAAATAATGTATACCTTTTTTCTCTCAACATAATGGAGAGTTCTAAAAAAAGCTTTTAACGTACCACAATAGTACCTTCTGGGTGGTGTGGAAGTATACTGATAAATATATAACTAATGCCTAACAATATAAATCAAAAACTCTTCTTTCTTACGAAATTCTGAGCACCAACCTCTTCCCACTAACAGATGAAATTTAAAAACTCTCCTTTTAAGTTACAACAGTAGGGGATGGCACGTGGAGTGCGCAGGGGGGCGAAGCCCCACCGTTTTTTATCACTAGGAGAATTAACGAAAATAATATCCTAAAATAATTAACTTACTTCCAAAATATTTGTCAGTATTACATCAATCTTTCAACGTTCTGTCTTGAATTCCCAATGCTCTTTTTGGAATCATTTAAGCCTCATCCCAAATAATTAAATCAACTTCTCTTAATTTTTTTTTATCTGACTCGAATTCTAAAAATGCACTCTCTATATTATTAAGATCTAAAGGAATTTTGAAAGTTCAATGACTGGTCATTCCCTTTGGAAGCAAAATTGATGCTAGCCAGTCCATGCGATTGACATGATTTTTTTGATTTTGAGAGATAAAAAAATAAATCAACGGTTTATATAAACAAGTTTTTCCTAGCTTTCCAGGATTATCTATAAAGAAAATATAATTTTTTTGTTTGCAAATAATATGAAATATATTTTTCTGGGCATTATTCAAACTTTTATACATCGAGTTAAACATTTCTTTACTGAAACATATTTCATCCTCTATATTTTCTTTATTACTCTCCATTTTTTTTGGTGTAGGTCAATTAAAGTATCCACATGATTTATCTTCTGGTTCTAAAACTCAATTAATATGTAAAAGAGCTAAATTATTTTTATTATTAGGCAAACCCTCTGTCAAAAATTCTTTGTATTTATTCCATATTTTATTACCTCAAACGTTTTCTGAAATTTAAAACCAAGCAAAAAATTGTCTTAATTATATAGAAACATAAAAACAATTGCTTCTTTGAAAATATCATCGATTTTTCCATCATTGTCTATTAAACCCATTGCAATTGTAGTATATTTAAAAGTTTCATAAGTTATTCCTTTATGTGTTTTAATGTCTTTGAACGATGTTGAACCAGTTACTTTATTTAATACAAGTTTTGAAAAAAATCTTTCGTGATCTTTTAGAGATACAATGTTTAATCGACCAATTGCAATATTTTTTCTTCAAGATTAATATTTAGTGTAAGATTACTATTTGAATTTCCATATATTCGAATATCATTGTTCGAGAAATTAACTATAACGTGAACATGTAGTAAATCTAAAAAGCTTCTAATTTCAATACTTGTACCATAAGTCTTATTTTTTGACATTATGTTAATATATTTATCACTACTTTTTACATTTTGATAGTAATCGTTTTCTACTATAAATTCATAATAATTTTGCCATTTATTTACAACATTATTGATTACTAAAGAACGAGCTCTCATGT